TAGCAGACGATAAGTACTCATCATCGAAAGCATCTAGAAAGAAAAATAGGAAGTACCATGAGAAGCATGAAACCAAAAATCAATTTAGAAATACAAGGAAAGAACATATAAAACTACAAAGAAAAAAGAAACCAAATAAAACAAAAAAAGTTATAGAATGGGTAAAAAATTGTTTGTGTACTGCCAACAGCACAGTTCTTGACAGTATTTGAAACTTACGTATTTTGGCCCATTAACCAATCAGTTCGACCTACCTATTATGCCACCTCTATGGCAACAACTTGCAAATAAAGTATTTCATGTGGTTAAGAGGCATTGCAAAGAAAGTATTTCATATGGTTAACACACATCTTTTTCAATTGATAAAAACGAAGACCAACGTGAAAGCTTAGAGCCCCAACTTAGTGGCCGTTTACCGAATACTTATCCGGTAAACATTTACCGGTAAAATTTAACATTATCGTTTACTTACCGCGGTAAGATTTTAGTTTACTAAAACAGTATCGCATAAAACAAATTATCCGGTATGCGTTTACCGTGGTAAGAGTTGTCGCCCTCATTTACAGGTAAGACTCTTAGTTTTTGTCTCGTTTTTACTGGATAAGATTTTTAGTCACTACCTTATCCATCCGGTAAGATAATATGACTTGGTGTTCACTTATCCGAGTAAGCGTTTGTAAACGACCCCTTAGTGTATTTAGTCTATTATTTTGGTCTTTATACATCATTGTATTGATGGTATTTTAGCACACCTAAATGGTTTTCAGATTTTTTATTTATTTTCCCCATCACAGGTGCTTATAATTGTTGACAATTTGGAAATAGAAAATGTCAATTTAGTTAATTTAAGGGCTGCCTCTTCTGCTGCCCTTCTGCTTTTGCCATTACCACTTGTAGCATTCCTACATTTTATATTTATAGTTCTTTTTTTTATTTGTTTTTGGTGATGGATGATCCAAGAGGGCTTACAAACCTTCCGTATCTACATCACCCGACAAGCATTTTGAAAAGAAAAAAAACAGGACAGGTCAGTTGGCAAAATGTAATTAATGAATATGTTAGAACCTATAACCAGATGAAAAATGAGAAACCTTACCTTTGTATCAATTTTATTTCTCTAATTTCATATTAGTCTATTACATGGCCATTCAATCTTAGAGTAGACAGTAAGATCGTCTGACACTTAAGTTACAGTATTTGTAACGTGTTTAGCTGAAGCATAGACAAAAAATCAACGATAGGAACAAATAGAAAACGGCATGACCGACACATGAGTGTGCTCTTGCCACCGGAAATATAGGGACAAAGTAACAAAACATAGTGTAGAAGTAAGGCTTACTGAATTCCACTACCATCTGAGCACACACCAGTCCCTGTGCAACTCCTGGGACTCCAGTTCACACCATTACTCGATATAGTTCCTCGATCCACATAATTTACCTTGCTGATCACACATAATACAACAAGCAACCTGTGCATATAGAATTGGGAGATCAACTCATACTAAAAAATAGGTAAAACTGTCAAGAATTGACAACACCCTGTCCAAAGTCAGCAAGGAAGATAAAAATGGTCTCAAACTAATCCCATTTCAACATTATATTCATTAACTACTTTGATGCAATCCAAGATTTCACCTAGAAATCTCATCTCACTGATAAAATTGTTGAACCAGTTACTAAACGTTGCTCACTTTTACACAAGCCAGGAGCTTTCACGGAAGCAGCCAGCATAAATGATTGTCAAGTAAGGTTACATGTTACAATGACAACTATTGATCATTCCATGTGTATTACACCTCCATTTGAAAAAAGTAAAAGATAACTAACCAGTAGCCAATCATCGTAATCCTAAGATTTTGCCATTTTCTAGTTGGGATAAACTTTACAAATCAAACACAAATACAGATTAGATTAAGTAACATAAACTTTAGAGTTTTAGGTATAATTAAAAGTCAAACACAGCTCTTTGATTTAAGAATGTTGGCCCAAAATTCACAATTACCAAAGGTGGCCTCTCAATTGGTTAAAAAAATGTATCAATCATACAGATGTAGAAGATAAATTTAATGATAGGCCCTCTTCTATTCCTTCATAAAATGGAGGGGCACTATGCTTCTAGTCCAGGCTGCCTGTATACCATTTAAAGGGAAGAGATACACACTATTAAGATTCTGCAATCAACAACCTTAAAGGGAATTAAGACCATGTAATGCATTTCCTGAGGAAAAATGGAGAATATTTAACACAGTCCTGCTTGAGCCGTAAAATATAACCCTAGCAAGTTCTACAAAATAAGAAATACCGTTCTACTTTAGAAGTAAAAGAAACAGCCCCTAAATGAAATGTGTTTCATAAACGTAAATTTGTCTAGATAGTTGAAAATACATAACTCAACCGAATACTTAAAACAACAAAACATGTTTAGAAGGAAATACCTGGCGGAAGGACTCGAAACATCTGCGGTGGTTTTTAGAGTCATATATTGGAAGATGGATTGGGTTTCCTTGTTTGAGTTTTTCAACGCACTCTAGCATTTGCTCTGTGTCAAAAGCATCTACAATCCATTAACATTGACTACAATAGAGGCAATACCAAAAAGAGCAAATCAGTTGGAACAMATAAACAGGCAGCACACAAGGCAAATCAAAACAAAAAAAAATCGAGAAACATAAACAATAAAACTTCAAAAGGTAAAAGAACACATAACATCGCAGATTTAACATGCATTTGAAGCTGAAGCTTCAGTGTGCGTGTGTATTTGAGAGGAGATATGAATGAGGTCACTCTGCATTTCRAGAGCTAGGTCAATGATGCAAATCAACAATGTAGTCCGAGAGAGAATAGCAGTGATAGGGCTCGATCAAAACAACAGTGAAAAACAACAAAACTGAAAAATATATATGGAGAAGATGAAAGAAATCGATGAATAATAAGGACCGAGATAACCCTAACCTAACCATATATGTTGGGAAGATGGATTTGGACAAGGAATCATAACATTGGGAGCTTCAATCGTCATCTTGGAAGACGAATTTGTGAAACGTCGCCTTGGGAATGAATGATTGGAGTGGGCCGGTCTTTGGGAGGAGAGAGCTTGCATCGATAAGTTGTACCATATGCATAACTAAGTTGTAATTAAGTCATTATGCAGTACAAGGTAGTATAGATAGATACATAAGAGTATTTTGGGTATTTATAATTTTAAGATTTTAAGACTTTTAATGAATTTGCTTAATAAGATAGTATAGATAATTTCGTGATCAATAAATTCCTACTAGAAAAACATAATATTCCCATCGACCAAAGTAATCTTTATCTTCTCATGAATTAAAATCAAAATAATTAAAGAAAATGTCGTAAAATAGAAATAATATATTTTAATTTCCAAAAATGCAAATATATTTCAGATTCTCCCGAGGGTTAATTAACTCGCACGTGTAAGTTTTTTCATTTTCCAGAGATGAAATTATTAAACCAAGATCAATGTTTCCTCTAGCTAGTTGTACCATTAGCATTAAACGTTTGTACGTTTCTGGATATAGAGAATTTAACCCTAAAAGAATGGGTTTTGCCCCTAACAACCCTCGAGACACGTGACCACCGACTAAATACGTGTCGAAAACATGATGGCATTTTTGTAATTTTTGTTATGTCTAGGGTTCATCATCAACCGCTCCAATAAAAATATCTCCTCTTTCACCTTCAAAACTCTCGAAGTTTCTCTGGAGTCAGAATCGTGCTTTTCGGCTAATTTGACAATTTTAGTCCTTGTGTTTACATTTTATTTCTCGTTTTAACCCTTCAGGATTATCTCTATTCAAAACAACCCCTGAACTCTACCCAACCATTGTAGGCATCATAACAAGAAAGACATTTGATTTGCTATGCTATGGTTCGAAAATGAAGCCCATATCAATCAATTGAAATTTATGAAAAATACGACGTTGTTTGTACTAATCAAGCCAAAAGGGTACATATGTTGTTAAAAATATTGTTCTTATGACCACTTATGAGTCATACACAGATCAAAATTTATTGGATGTGCGAAACAGAACGACTTTCTCTTTCTTACTGGAAAAAGAAAGTGGTTTTACTAGTTTGGTTGTATTGCTAAAACTTAAAAGCAGCATGGTTAGATTTGGTGGAACGGTTCATTACGATCTTCTAATATTGATTGTTTTTTTCGCTGGAACTTGTTAGATGCTAAATGTGGGTCGTGACTTCTAGTAACCCTTTATTTTTAATAGGAATGATACGTGTTAATGGGAAAAGGGTTTAAAAGCTCTCGCGATATAATCATCTATGTGACGAAACTTGCTTATAATGGTTGATAGCTGAAACTACGTGCGTACAGATTTTCAATGTCGTTGCATGATTGTTGATTATGCTTGGACGTTGAAGAAAAGTCAACCTCCAAAACCTTAAACTATCTCATATATGATCACGTCTTGAGGCATGCTTCTAATTGATGCCAAAAGAATTATCTCGTCAAGAAGTGAATAACTAAAGGAAGGCCAATCATTCAAGCAACTACCCAATCTCGTTGGTCTGTAGCGTAATCATTACGTTAACCAAGTGTCGTTGACTTAAGATTCAATCATTTAAGCAACTACCCAATCTCTATTTATGTAGAATCAAACAACGCTAACAGTTAACGTTGAAACCAAACGCCAACTGTTCTTGCACGTATCACAACACATTCAATCAATTACCCAATTAAATCAAGTACAACTGATCCAAAAAGCAGCTACTGTTGATCAGTTATCCAAGGAAACGATCATTGATAGCATTCATCTTGTGGCAAGATCGGAATATACGATAAATTTACATGTTGCTTAAAAATACATGCCAACATTATGCACCAAATTGGACCTAATAATTGAAGAACAAAATTACACAAGACTAAGAATGTCAAACTCGAAAAGGCTAAGGGTATAAAATGAAAAACTAAACCTAGCCTTGATTCATATTGTAGCCCGAGCAAATCCTTTTCTTCTTATTCCCCTAAATATCTGAAGCAATTACTCCTCCCTTTGTCTCAAGAACTCCAGTCTCCAGATTCGTTTAAATTCTCCATCGTAGAAATATATGGTGATTGAGGGTGTAACCAAATTGCTATTGCGGTTTTGCTATAAATAGGAACGGTGGTTCTCCTGGATTCTCCCTCTCCCAAATCTTTTGATTGTTCTTGAGATTCTTGGTGAACCAGAAGGAATCATGGATGAGGGAAAATCCATGGACGGATCTTGCTATTACTCTGTTCTCGGTATCAGTAAGGGTGCTTCATCCACGGAGATTCGATCTGCATATCGGAAGCTCGCTCTGGTTATTGATTTCTCCTTTTTTTTAGTCTAATCAATTTTCGAATTATCCATGGATTTTGACTTGTTTCATTCTCTAAAAATTGCATTTTAGTCCGATTGAGAATCAGAGTTTAATGCTGATGTTGATTGATTTTGTTAAGGAATGGCATCCGGACAAATGGACAAAAAAACCGTCGCTCGCCGGAGAAGCAAGCCGGAAGTTCCAGAAGATCCAAGAAGCTTATTCAGGTGATGTAATTTAAGTTTTTAGTGATGAATTTTGATTGAATGTTGACGTTTGTTGATGAACTTTGTGACAGTCTTATCGGATCAAGCAAAAAAGTCTATGTACGACGCCGGAGGTCTTGATTTACTCGACGACGTTGATGACAACGAAGTACGTAACTCCAGAAGAAAAAAAATATCTAGATATTTTTTTCTGTTTCTTTTTTTCCTTTTCAATTTAATAATAAATTATTAATAACGTCGTCGTTTTGGCATTTTTATTTCATATGAACGGTGGAGGAAGTTGTACCTAAAGGTTTACTTGCGTTGCAGGGAATGGGAGATTTCTTGCATGATTTGATGAAGATGATGGACCAGAACACCGGTGCTGAGGTGAGAACAGTAGATTCATTCCAATGTATGAGTCAGGTTGTTTGTTTACCTGTTAATAGTTTCATTAGAAGGCATAAAAAAATCATCTTGCTTCTCATGGTTCTAAAATTCTCTAAATGATTTTGTATTTTAGGTCTTTTTTAATAACAATTGCCACACGATTATATTTTATTTTGGATCATATTATATCATGAGAAGTTGTTAATCGTTCTACAACTTCATCATTCTACATCAAATCATATTAATTGCCATAACTCTCCTCCACACCAACACCCACCTAACATAGAGATATGATATGGGATAATTTATTTATTATTATTGTTATGTTTTGAGGGTAAAATGGTATTATTAATGGAGAAATGATCAGGTGGAAAGCCTGGAGGATTTACAGAAGACGTTCGTGGAGATGTTCGGTGACGATTTGAGGGAGTTTATGGAGAAGCAAGATCAAACGGGGAGGAAGAGGGCACGTGTGGAGAAACCCAACATCCCAAGAAGCAGCAGGGCATGCCGCTAGGGTTATTTCATTACTTTCAAGACCTGGGGGTAGTTTCGTAAACTCAACTGTAAAACTGGATATTACATGAATGAAATGAAATTCACCTTTCCAATCAATTTCAGAATACAGGTCTTATATGATTTTAGATTCCTTTATAAATATATTAATAGATTTCCTTTTAGTTTATGGTGAAAATATTTTTTTTAATTTATTTTAGCCATGGAGGTTATACACACCTTCACTAATCTATGGTTTGGTTTGGTATGGTAAAATCTAAATGAATTTGATGGAATTGTAATGATAAATTGTTTTAATTAAATTCCAATTCATTTATTTGGTTTATTTTTTTAAAATGAATAGAATTTTTTAAATTTTATTAAATTTCATAAATTAATGAATTCATCGTTCTTTAGTATAATGGAAGGAATTGAATTTCATCATCACTCACCCTTAATCCCACCATCACCATATTGCTACTGTCGTCGCCACTCATCTTAACCCATCACTAACTACCATGCCAATTGGATTGACTAGAATACGACGAGTAATGGAATAAAGGAATATATTGGGAACCCCTTGGATTACTACGAAAAACACCATCGGATTTCAGTCCGGAATAATTGAACGTAAAACGTTTGTAGGTGGCTATCTGTCTATATGAAAAAAAAAATTTGTAATGAAGTGGATTATTATTTATTATTGTCATCACATCCACCTACCGGACACTCACTGCATATCCTTAATACGGCCATACTATTGTTGTTACTGCACACCCCTAATCTTAACACCTACCGCCAAAACTTTTGTCGTTGACGTCACAATTGCCACTCACTCCCATCCCCCCCCCCCCCCCAAAAAACCCACAACACCTTACCCTAACCCATCACTAACCACAATGCTACTATCGTTACTGTTAAGTCCTTAACTGAACCTTCATTGTCGTCGTCATAATTGCCTCTCATTTGCAACCCACCCTAACTCAACCCACCACTATTGTCCCTGTCATATCCACCCACTCCCAGCCATCCGGCCACCATCCCACCACAGTCACCGTCACAGCTACCACCCTGCTAGCCATCCCATCGCCGCCCCTAATCTAACCCCTCACCCCCACACCACTATTGTTGCCTTCACAACCACCACTCACCTGCACCCCACTCTATCCCAATCCACCACTAAACACCACGCCATTATTGTCATCATCATACCCACCCACTCTCCGCCCCAGCCACTCGACCACTATCCCACTATCGCTACCACCCGCCACCTACACCTACCCATCCCCACCTACACCTACCCACCCCATCGTCCCGCCCCGCCCAGCCCAGCCCAGCCCAGCCCAGCCCACCACTAACCACCACCTTACCACTATAGTTGTCACAACTACCATCCATTGCTCCACTCTGGCCTCACCCCCTACAGCCTCGCCACGCCCCCACACTCATACCCCTACAACCCCTATTCTATGGAGCAAGGGGCATGAGTGGTGGGGCACGGGTAGGGATGGGGGGAAGGGTGAGAGAGTTCATTCCAGTTCCTACCAACCAAACGTGTGGTCAAATCTTTTTGTGTAATTTCTTTAATTTAATTTTTTATTATAATTTAATTTAGATTTAATAATAAAGTCATTTATTTTTGGTTTAATAAAATAATTCTTTTATAAAGATAATAATTAATATTTTGTTAGAATTCAATGATTATACTAAATATAATTTAGATATTTTATATTTAAAATGAGATACTAATCCAGTATTTGCTTATTTTTTGTTACACGAATTCAAACATGGAGCTTTAATAAATTGTATATACACACAATTTATTTGTAATTTTGAATTTTAAGTAATATGCATCAATAAACAGTACTTAAAATATAAAAAATGGTTTTAGAAAAGGTTTATAATATGGTATAGATATAGATAAAACATTTACGATATAAATTTCATAAATTAAGAATTTCTTAATGGAAGTTGAACAACTGGGGAAAAATTGATGGAAGATTCAAAAACCATTCTTAAAAGAATAAAACAAGTATCGGATTGGATTTGTTTCAGGAAGATTCAAAATAATGTTTATCTTTTTAAGGGACTTGTGAATAATATTAATTCACTTGAATTTTTATGTCGACCTTGTCCAATTTTTACCCTTCTTCATTACAAAACAATAAAAAGAATATATACTATATTATAAAATATTTGACAAAAATTCTTAAAAACCTTTTTTTATGCATTAAGTATTTTTTATTGATGCATATTACTTAAAATTCAAGATTACAAGTAAATTATGCGTAAGTACATCTTATTAAAACTTCATGTTTGAATTCGTGTAACTAACTCCAGATAACCATAATCAAATAGAGAATAAACATTTTATTTTAAATATAAAAATTCTAAAATATAAGTAGGATAATCATTGAGTTATAACAAAATACTTAATTATTATTTTTATAAAAATTATATTATTACACCAAAAATAAAAAAATGAATTAAAGAAATACACAAACAACGAGAAATTTTAGATAGTAAGTCTGATACTAATATCAATATTTTTTTATGATATCTTCATATTTATATTTTATTCAAAAATAAAAACATTACCGCTTTCTCAAAACCATATAAAACTGTATTATAACATCGACTAAGACAAAGAAAACGAAACACTAAAATCAAGATGTATTTCACTGCATTGTATGAATACCCTTTTAGTGATTTTTAAATCAAGATATTTGCAATGTTATCGATTCGTACTTACGCATATCAATTTGGCAGTTTTCTTCCTGGACTAAAAATAGAGGACATCGTCCAACTCTATCACACAAACTTCTATATATTGGTATTGTATCTCTTGGTCAAACTCTCTTTATTTCCACATCTTTTTCTGAGTTGAAACATCGTTGAAACCCTAAAGATATCGTGCCAAACAAACTTCCCCTAACCTAGTGTTACATTAACAACATTAATTTTAGTTAATTTCAATTGTCTCCAATTATTGGGTTAGTTATGTAACTAACAACCGTGTTTTCAGGGTACTAGTTGGGAGCTTATCCACGGTCGTATGGCTTTAAAATGCTCATTTTATAAAGGGAATTGTTTATAAGTGGTCATGGTGGGGGCGAGGAAGTCAAATCAAGCGAAGAAAACTAAGGTTCAAGAGCATTGAGGTGAAATTCCTTGGAATGAACACTAAAGGTATATGAGGGTTTTAGGCAATGCCAGGAATAGGGTGTGGACTAAAACCATGAACTTAAGGTGTAGTTCTATTAACATCATTATATGACAATACTTTTGTGTTCCTGCCACCTTGATGAAAATAAGTTTCTCCCGTCATCAAGAGATGTTTCTTATGTATAATATCCAAGTTGGGACAATTTACCGTGGTGCACGGTACTGTACCACTGTTGCGGATTGGGCAACGCTTTGAATTATTTCTCTTACCTATCTTGTGAGTTATTTTTATGTTATCTCACTAAGTGTCAAGCCTAACATTTGTTCTTGATTATGTGGTTTTCAGGTATCACTAGTGGCAGATCTAGGACCGCCAGATAGATAGGCTTGGTTGGTGCTTTTAGGAGCATTAAAGGTTGACATGTTGGGGGAGCACTTGAGCAGAAGTTGAAATTTTGGATACATAGTAACACCCGATTGTAATCTAATCTACTTGAGATTAGATTATTAGATTGTTAATGTTTTAATTCTTGTTTTAATACAAATACAACAATTTTTTTCACTTTTAATTTTATATTTTGTATTAAAATAAGAATTACAGATTTGTTATGGAAGCTAGGAATGTAAGACTTAATCCTAAACAATCTGAATAGTGACAAATTTTCTGACAACTAAAAGAGTGGGAGAAAAATGTACTCTTTTAGATCTAAAGTACTAAGAAAGTCTTTCAAATTGTGACAAAGATTTTGCCTAAAAAACTATCACCCAGAAGTTCTTTAAAAAAAGATGAGTTGCCACATGTGAGAAGTATATAGACACCATTGCATTAAATATTGTTTGTCAACTTTAACCTATGTCTTTTTTTCCTGATTTCCTGATTCATGCATGTTTTTACTCTTCATTTCAGCCTTTGAAGTTAACATAGACACTTTTTCAATCTGCATCCAATTTAGACCGGGACCGGCATAACCGGTTAAGCAACTCCATCTCCATAATTTGTTCATAGTTAGTTTTATTAATTTTAAGAAAATTGTATGTCTACAATAATTAATTATTTTTGTAAACTTGAAAGTTAAAGGATTATACATAAATAAACAATGCATAATATTTTAGATCTTATTTTGTCTAACATGTTCTCATACCAAAATGAAAGTTGGTAAGTCAAACTTGCTGAATGAGTTTGCATTCCAATTTCAGCTTGACAGAAGTAATATTTGTCAGACTATTATTTGATTTTATACTGTATTGATCCTCTTTAGGCTAGATAACAATCCAATCGGCTTTGATGAAAATCTTGACCTCACTTCAACTACTCTTCGATTTTGTTGAGGGTTTTTTGTTCTTGGATCAATACACATAGTTATAAGACTTTCACAAAGAAAAATCCCATCTATCTGTTCTCAAATATAATCTATAGATCAAATTCCAACTTAGACTATTTATGAAGTAGAGACATCAGATGTTTCATGTATACTTAGAATATTTGAGGGTTTATGAGAATCAAAACTTGATGACCATGTTAATGGATGAATCGGATTCTTCATTCGAATAAATCATTACCAAAAATCTGAGATTTGATTCCAACATACTATCTAAGATACAAATACAAAAACTGGCTGAAATCCGAAACCTTGATTAAATAAATTTCTTTGTTAAATCCGATATATGTATATCGAATATAATAATTACAAGACAAGTATTAAGAATTTTTCTTCTAAGTGTTGAATCAGATGTTATTTGTATTATTTACAAATCCGATGGTCTATACGGTCAAATTTCCAACTCCATAATTTTTTTGAGCCAAAGTAAAGTAGAGATCATTGGTTCACATACATGACATAAGAAAAGTATATATGCACGTAGTGATAAAAGTTGTCATATTTGATTTTTGATAGATTTTGTATGTACAAGTTCTTAATTTGGTTTTATGCGTAGTTGTTTAAGGGTGTAATGTGTCTTAACAGATCCTTTGATGTTCTCCATGTTTGGGTGCATTCGGTTTTTGAGTTAACGTTGACCATTACATTTCATCTTCTTCATTTATCTCTCAATTGACGCGATTTCAGCAACCTTCGCGACAATTCTTGGAGGGTTTTTATGGGCAAATGAAAGGATTAATTTGGAGATTGAACCTTAGGGGTCGTTTACCTAAATGCTTACCCGGTAAGCTCTTACCATTAAGAGTCAGCACTTTAATTTATTTTACTATGTAAGATTGTAATATATTAAAATGGTATCGTATGCAACAATTTATCAAGTAAACGCTTACCCGGGTAAGAATCATGATCCTCACTTATTGAGTAAGACTTTTTATCTTTATCATTGTTCTTACCGGGTAAGATTTTTGACCCTTGTCATGTTAATGTGGTAAGTAATATTATCCAGTAAACACTTACCGAGTAAGCGTTTAATAAACAGCCCCTTAATGATCCAAGGTCTTCAAGGTTTGGTTGAATTCATGGATTGCTATGGAGATGGTGAAATCTTTGTGAAGAGAAGCAAAAGTTGGATGAAATATAGGTTTCACTTACCTACCTAACTTTACATAATATATTTTATTATGTTAAAGAATTAAAACCCAACCATGTCATTTCTTCTTCTGCTTCACAATTCTTGCCCCATAACCCATCTTCACTCCAACTTGTAAATTATCCACATGAAAGTGAACACATTTGAAAATAAAGGGTATACATTTATCAAGTTAAATTATCTTATCGGATATATATGGTAAGGACTAAAAATCTTTTCCGGTAGAACGAAGACAAGGATCGAGAGTCTTACCTGACAAGTGATGACGACAATTCTTACCATGGTTAGTTTACCGGTTAATTGTTGCATATGATGTCGTTTTGGTGAACTAAAATCTTATCTGCTAAGTAAGTGATAGTATCAATTTTACCGGTGTACACTTCTAATAATTTGTACAACAATATTTTGTTTAACAAAGGAGTAACAAAATTTAATAAAAAAGTAAAAAGATGAAGTTATTCCTCATTTAACAACCTTGTTTAACATAATTAGCCAAAGAGACGAAAAAAGAAATAAAATAAAATTAATGATAATCAAAAGAACAATTTTTAAATGTCGATCACAAAAATAGTTATAAACAACAAACTAAGGTGACATTTATTTTTAAAAGATGATGCTGAAGTCTGAAATCTGAATCAATAAGACTGTTTGTTCTTGCAAACTAGTAAATGTCTGATTTTGTTTAAATTATCTATTTTATCTATTAGAAGATTATAGTGTTAAATTTATAGATAAATTTATACAATTTCACATATTTATTTATCACCATTACAAAATCTACATCATCTAAATTATATAATTAGCAGTCATTTAAACGAAAATATGTCAAAAAAGTATTTAACACATTAAAATCCTATTAAAATGCATCAACTGAGACAGATGAGGATCTATTTGGTAATGATTGGTTGAGAGAAATGATCGATCAAGTTTAATCGATTGAGAAATGTCGTTGCTAAGAGTTTGGAAAACAATAAAGATCCGTTTAGTTTGCAGATTGTTTTTGAGGGATTTGTATTTCATGAAAGGATTTGGATTTTGAGGGATTTAAATTGGAATGAATTTGAAACCATCGGTGTGTTTGGTTTGTAGGATTTGGAATGTAATTGGATTTCATTATTATAAATAATTTATAGAAAAAATTATAAAAATAATTGAATTACATTTTTGTTAATAAATTATTACTAAACAAATGTTTTTAACATTTTTTAAAACCTTATTACATACAATCCTACCAAATCCCGTGAAATCTTGAGCACTCCCTAAGGATTTCAAAACCCCTATGTTTGAAGGATTTCAATTAAATCCTAGGATTTCAAATCCGGATAATCCAACAAACCAAACATAAGATTGGAATGAATTTGAAATGCAAATCCCTCCAAATCCATTTCATTCCTTCAAACCGAACGGGACCTAAGAGGCAAATAAGAGGTTGGTTTACCTCTTATCAGATAAGAGGTGAACATGACAAAAATGATTCCGAAAAATTGGAAAAAAAAAAAAACAGTCGAAATGGCTCTATCTTTTAACCAATCAGACATAAAAGGCTAATAAAAGTTTTTTGAAGAAAACAAACGATGCCTAAGAGTCCAGAAAACTTATTCTTAATTTACTATAAAATGTTTTTATTTATTTAGGCTAGAAAGTAATAACTTCTCCATAAATGGGGGATATTTGTAGTTCCTGAAACTAGGGGGTGATTATTGCAATTTATTTGAAACATGAAATGAAGATGGTCCAATATCCGGTTAGATAAGAACACACCACTCAATCAATCACCCTCCCATGGAACTCCCAGCAGACCCAAATATTACAACACTCCCACTTCATTTCTCCCTTGTAATTATCTCTAATTCTTAGAAATCTCTCTTATCTGGGTGAAAAACATTCAAAATCTTGCTTCTCCCAAATGGGATTCTCTTCTTTCAACAGGTTCCCCCTCTATCACACCCACACACACATTTCAAATCACCTATCTCTATGTAATTTGATTTGATCATTTTGTGGTTTTCTTGAATGTGGGTAGTGTTCGTTAATGTAATTGCAGTGGGTGCGGTTGTTGCAGCCTTGGATGGAAATCATCCAGTTTTCTTGTACCATTAGGGTTTAATTCAAGCACCACAAATGGAGTTCTGGTCTCCTCATCCATCAACAGATTTAATCGGTTCAGAGCCGTTCGTCCCTCTGCATCTGCATCTTCACCTTCTTCTGGTATTGTTCTTCCCCAATTTGTGGCATGTGATGGTAAATTATGAATGTATAATGTTACGAGTGCATAAATTTATCCATGTCTTAATAGCCGATTGTGAAAGTTATATCAGAATTTTAGAGATGAAATCACCTAAATTAACTCTTTAAATCACTGGTTTGGAGTTTGTTCTCATTTGTCAATTGGATTTGGTTAGTAGTGAATCAGGTCATGCTCATGGTGGATGTAGGAGGTTGTTTTTGTCTTCAATTTTAGGGTTTATTTCTTCAGGCACACACTTCATGGGTGCTGTCAGACTCTTGTTTATATGTTCAAATTTACTGGACTCAAGACCATAGATGACCACTCATTTTGATCTGTGGGTTTTCAGTTTTATTACCAAGATTGCTCAGTTGTCGTTATGAATCAACTGTTTGAAAAATAAGGGTTTAAAATTTCAAAAAGATTGCATCAAATATAAACAACTCAAAATGCAAGATCACAGAGGTTAAGAAAAGCTTTTGCATCAAAGTTTTGTTCCAGATCAAAGCCACCATATTGGATGCCGAAGAAATGTATCAGTGAGATACCGTTTTCAATCCCCAGTGGCGCTGAGGAGACTCGAATTGGTGACCTATGGAGAGGAGCCCAAGGCCTAGCCTTTATTTGCCGGTTGACCTGGCCAGTTAGATTAGGGAAAGTTGAGGAGACAAGAATCTTTAGTTTTGATGAAGAACGAAGAATTATGAATCTTGATTTTTATTTAGATTTAGTTTGAAGTTCTAAATCGAACTTGAAGAAGATTAAAGCTTGAAGTTTGAATTTTGAAGCTTGAAGAAGGCATAGTACAGATTCCTATTTATCTTAGTCCTCAATTTACTCTCGTTATCTCTATTTCGATTGCGTTCTTAACTAAAATCGGGATTCAGAACCACTTTTGGTCAAGGCTGCAAGAGGAGATCCTGTAAGCCGACCTCCGGCATGGATGATGCGTCAGGCTGGAAGGTATATGGCCGTTTACAGAAAACTTGCAGAGAAACATCCATCTTTCAGGGAGAGATCGGAAACAACCGATCTCATTGTGGAAATTTCATTGCAGCCTTGGGAAGCTTTCCATCCCGATGGAGTCATTATCTTCTCGGACATTCTTACCCCTCTACCTGCATTTGGTGTTCCCTTCGACATAGAAGAAGTGCGGGGCCCAGTTATTCAAACCCCAATTCGGTCCGAGGAGGGCTTAAAAGCCTTGCATCCAATCAACTTGGATAAACTAAACTTTGTGGGTGAATCCCTCAAGATTCTTCGACAAGAGGTAATTCTTCTTCTTACCATATAGTCGAGATACATTTCGACTTCTTAAATAAAAGTTATTAGTTTTCGTTCTTTAATCGGTATGCATTCTTTATAAATTTCTCTAAGATTTCAAGCTGCAGCGGAAGTCATATCAAATTGTACAAACACATGTATCTAATTTGAATGCTATGTAGGCTATGTTAGGCAAACCAACTGATAAGCTACTCGTTGGTTGATAAGCTAGTTGTTGGCTGCTAGGCTAAATGACGACGTAAAATGACCTAAAAGAACACTATGAAACATTATTTGGAAAAATATAAGGTGTGTAATTGAGGAAAAAAAACCTGGAGCTTATTGAAACGCTATTGAACGTAACTTTTCCAAGAGGTAGATGACTTATGACCAACCAAACTTTTTTTTTCAATGAACTCAAAGACGTAATAGGTTTGAATTGAACCGTAGCTCTTTAAATGTATTGAAAATTTGTTGTGAATTAGGTTGATGGGAGAGCTGCGGTTTTGGGTTTTGTGGGAGCTCCTTGGACAATCGCCACATATATCGTAGAAGGCGGCACCACTCGTACATACACGAATATAAAAAGCATGTGTCATACGGCACCTCATGTATTACGGGCTCTTCTCTCGCATTTAACGGAGGCTATAGCCGAGTACGTTGTTTACCAAGTGAAATGCGGTGCTCATTGTGTACAAATATTCGATTCTTGGGGTGGACAGCTACCTCCAAACATGTGGGAGCTCTGGTCAAAGCCGTATATCAATGAGGCAAAAAGCCAACTCTATTCTTTGTTCTTCTTTTCCATGAACACGAGAAGGATCATCATCAAAATTCCTTCTATTTTGTATTTTCAGATTGTAGGTATCGTAAAAAAGAAATGCCCAGAAATACCGCTTGTACTTTATATCAACGGAAATGGCGGGTTGCTTGAAAAGATGAAAGGAACTGGAGTTGACGTTATTGGGCTGGACTGGACGGTCGATATGGCAGATGGAAGACGGAGGTTGGGTGACAATATCAGTATTCAAGGAAACGTTGATCCTGCTTATTTGTTTTCGCCTCTTTCTGCCTTGACAGATGAGATTCATAGGTGAGTGTCGTTTTTAACCAAAACAACGTTGTTTCACATTTATCAAAGGGTCATTGGCCCAGTGGTACCAGGATTCCTAGTAGAGCCCAAACTCCGGTTCAAAACCTCACCAAAGGTGATGAATGTACGTGATTATTTGTTGTATATAAATATTATATACTTCAAAAACCAACGTTCTTTTTACATGTTTAGATGTGATGGGATATCGGTCTTTTGATGTTCTTATGATCATGGTCATATGACAGGGTGGTGAAGTGCGCTGGGCCGAGGGGTCACATTTTGAATCTGGGCCACGGCGTACTTGTTGGAACTCCGGAGGAAGCTGTTTCACGGTTCTTTGATGTTGCAAGAAGCTTCAACTTTGATTCCGTTGAGGAGAAACCGAAAGTTGTAGTTTGAATGCAATTTGTTTAGGTTTTCTGGTAGGATTAATGTCCTGTTGTTGAGGTTTTTACCCGAAATTCGGTTCTTATTTTAGTTTTTTGCTTAAATTTTGTCATTTGAGCTTCTGGATCTCGATTTGTATTGTGTATTCTTTCATTTGGATCATGTTATGATATTATATGCAGAAAATGGTGTCAAGTAGATGCAAGAAAACATGCTGCTATTAAACATTTTATTGTAACGAAAGTTTATGGATCCTGTAGAATGAAATTCGATCGACATGTTTCTAAATATAAAAACGGCACAGATCCAGTGTTTTAAAAGACGTGTCATATCAGCTATCGTGACATGCCGTTGTTCAAGGCTTGTCTTTGACACCATCTTGTTAACCGGCCATGGTCTGGTGCAAGGCTTTTGGAAAATGTTATTTAGTTCTACAATTAATTATGAAATAAAAAAGTTAATTGATAGTTTTATTATTAAGGATAACATTGTCGTTTTAAAAAAATGTAATTATTATATATTTTCAAAAGTATATAGCTTTTTTTATTATGGACATAGAGAAAGTATAAATTTGTCGCTATAAATCATGCTATAAATAATATATCCATTGAAAGTTATTATGGTTGGCAAATCCCTACATCCAAGAGCTGTTAAGGGGCTGTTTGATAGGAGCTTAATAGGCTATACAAAGGATATGGCTTATTCGCATAGTCATATATAGCTGTTCAGCATGGGCTTATTCGGCCAGCCTGGGCATGAATCGCTCAGCTAGAAAAGTGATGTCATTTGTACTCATCCATCTATTAATCTATTTATTCCCATTTTACCCTTTCCCTCTTTTATCCCCATCTTACTTTCCATCGTTGCTCTCATTTGGATTTCTTCTAGGTTCCACCCTCACACCCAGGCCCGTTCTTGACATTTTTTAGGCCCTGGGCGAACGTAAGAACAGGGCCCCCTGTAAGAAACAAGGTTTTTAGCAACGACTTTTGTCGTCGCTAAATGTCCATTTATCATCAGAAAGAGTACACCAACAACATGTCGACGTTATAACTTGTGGCGGAAACATGTTATCGCTAAAAGGCGCATCATCAAAACTCACTTTTCTTGTAGTAACATTCGGTAAGTACGAAAATAAATTCAATAAATGTTTTTTATTAGTATAAAATTGAGTACAAAAATGCTAATAATTTACTGAGGAAAAAAATCTTATTTATATTTATTATATATGTGAGTCCTCTAATTTAACTTTCAAGACGAATACAATTTAATACTGATTTTCAGTCCTAACAATATATATATATATATATATATATATATATATATAAGAGTGTACTTAAATTTACGTACTTCTTATTAGATAATTTAAAACCAAGAGTATAGAAACTATGGTTGATAAATTTTTATAAAAAGTAAGAATTTTTTAGTTCATAACAAGAAATATGTGTTATTTTGATATAAAAAGATAATTCGTGTGAATGAAGTAATCATTAGAGTCAATGAGAGATCAATAATAAAAAAGATTATCAAGGTTTTCTTGACAAGTAAACAAATGAMGATCAATAAAAATATAAAAGAAAAAAAATGATCCATTGAGATCCAATAAGAATAAATAATGAAATTAACATATAATATACAAGCTCAACAAATGATTGTTTGAGCACTTAAATAGAATCTTATGGTGTGGTGGAATCTCAATGAAAGATTTAAATTATATTTTCCTTCTTTGTTTGCTCAACTAAAATAAGATATTAAGATTTTTTTGATTAACCTGGATATCCAACCCACTATGTGAGCCGACTAATCCCATGACGACCACCTGCTTTGCAGATAGCCCGGAGTCACTGCATTTGAACCTCCGTAGCCACAAGGGGATTTTTATTCCTCCTTGGATTTGAACCTGAGACCTCCTGGTACTTTTGATCTTTGGAGCCAAACTCAAACCAATCAGGCACCACCCTTGTGGTTAAGATTAAAATTTTATGAAACATGACATATATAAGAGACATTACTAAATACATCTAGTAGAAAAAATTTATTGATTAATCACAAAACCATGAAACAAGTCAAAAATTATAAGAACAATAGATTGATTGTCAAATAATAGTAAAATATTTTATGTAGAAGCAAAAATAGATAACAATAGTCAATAAAAACAATTAGAACAAGATAACCAAATAGCAATAGTCAATAAAAGCATAAATTGATAAAATATCCAAAAAATATATATAGCAAAAACAAGCACATGATCTTAACTTTAAATTATTGAAGTACGAAAACAGTCAAGTTTTTAGAGATAGCAATAACGAATATCATTGGACCTTGTTGGAGATAAAAAAAATAGAGAGAAAATAAACAATAGCATATAATGAATGACAAATTAAATTTTTTCTTCTCCAATGTAATTAGTTGGTATATTTTTAAGCCCTTATTTTCTACTAAATTCTTTTTGTCTCTAATTATATGTTACAATTTTTGGATTTCTTTAATTTATTAAAATCTTTTAGACTACTATTGTAGTTTAGGGGAAATTTTTGGGCCCTGGGCGTGCGCCCATGTCGCCCTCCCCCAGGGACGCCCCTGAGTCACACCCTTATCTCTCTCTCTCTCCGCCGCACACCGCCATATGTAACACCCCACAATACACATTGCACGTAACTTATACTTCATTCATAAGAAATACATGTTTATACACCACGTAGGTCCTAAGTACAAGAAATACATAACATACTGGATACATGGTCCAAAAATTGAAAATACATTTCGTATACAAATCAACGTTCATCTATCAAAAACTAGATACAACAAAAGACTGGGGGGCTGTTTGGCAGTTGCTGAATGGTTTGGTGCAGAATGACTAAGTGGTCAGAATGATTAATAGGGTCAGAATGGTTAAGTGCTGAATGAAATAATGTTGTTTGGTAACTGTTCTCTGAATGAGAGTAAATTACCATTTTAACCCTTTGTGCATAAACCCATAATTTCAACATACAGTGTACATAAACCCATGAAATTGAAGTGCACATACAGCAGGCTTGTGAATCAATAACAATGGGGTATAACCAGGCTTGATAATCAATAACAATGGGTATAAGTTTCCTGAAATTTATATTTGTTTCCTGGTATTTCAAGATCTGTTGTTTCAAGATACAGTATAACAATGGGCAGAATAATACCTGAAGCGAGGAAAAGGATGGAGGAGACTGGAGACGAGCGGCGACGTGGAGCGGCGACGTGTGAGGAAGGAGAGGGTAAAATTGGAAAAAGAACGATCTGAATGGTTGAGTGAGGTAGTAGATGCAAAATGGTTAAGAGGTTATTGTAATCATTAAGAGGGTTGTTTTTTTTTGCCAAACAGACCTAACCTCTTACCGATTAAGAGGTTGGCTCTTAATGTAACCATTAAGAGCCAAACAAACAGCCCCTGATCCTCACAAAGTCACGCATACAAGAAAATATCACAATTTTCCTTTTCTTTTACCGTCCGCAGTTTCTGCATTACATATTTAAATCACAAAATGAGGGTTAGACCGGAAGGTCTAGTGAGATCCCATTTTCTATGTCATTGCAAGGTGAAGATCACCAAAACTTTATTTAAAATCAACTTTTCATATATAACAAGTATATGAACAGATAATCCAAAATAACAATATCTTACTAATTTCCCAAAAGCCAATTACTCGGCTTTACGAATATCATATTCCAACTAATTAAGTTAGAAACTGCCAATAATACCTCTTTAAACCTTTATAATTAATAACAAGGTTTATTCATAACTTCAGGCCATAAGCCAAATCAATAAGAATAAAGAGATAATTAGGTGTATCATGAGAATTAAATATTGAAGTGTTGATGAATTGTGGTTGAGTTTGAGATATCCCACTTTGATGAGAGATTTAATCTCTCTCTCTCTCTCTCTCTCTCTCTCTCTATATATATATATATATATATATACTTATAATAAAAAAGTAACTTGGGTGACACGTGTCATCTTCTGGTGAGACGGTTTTCTTGTTTTCCCGCCTAACACACGTATGTAGACATAATTTACATTAGTGGTTCAATTAGACTCATTTGAACGTATCTAGACACAATTAACATTAACAGTTCAATTATACCAATTTGATTGATCACTACTAAAAATGTGGTTTTTCCGACAGCAAAATCTGTCGGAAAAACAACTACCCGACGGATATTGCCGTCGCAAAACCCTCCGCCGTTAAATGCAAATTCCGTCTGAAATCTGTCGGTAATGTACAAATAAGTTTTATTTATATTTTTTTTCTTCCAAAAATATATATTTAAAAGAAGTTCAAAATTTCCGACGAATAATAATTTTTATAATAAGAAAATATATACTATCGGAATTATTAAAAAAAAGCTTTTTACTTTTTCTTATAAAACATATATATACATATATATATATATATATATATATTTATTTTAAATAAATTCCGAAAGAATATAACTTTTTATTAGAAAATTACAATACGTCGGATTTTTTTTAAACATATTTTTTTTGCAACGGAAAAGAATAAAAAAAATTTTCTTAAACATTTTCGACGGAGTATAATTAAATATAAAAATCAATTAAAATCCGTCGTAAATTTTAATTAATTAACGCTAATTACTTTATTCAAATACATTAGACCAATTTTGTGACGGATTTTCGACAGATTTGTGATAGTATTAAATAAGTAAAAAAATCCGTTACAAATCCGTCGGGAAAGTTGTAGAAATAAAATTTTATTTTATTTTTAAATTCAGTGATGGATTTGTGGGGGATTTGTGGCTGACGTTGACAAAAGTTGTCTTTTCTTGATTATACAGAGCTCTGAAGTCTGAATAGTTTTACTTAAGAGTTATTTCAAGAGTACAAGTCCAAGTCTGAAGTCATTCTTCATAGTTATACTTAAAAGTTATTTCAAGAGTACAAGTCTAAAGAGTCGTTCTAAATTTACTGCTAAGTTTAAATTCAATTTACTGATATAGTTTCATTTCTAAATTTTAATTTTATTCTAGGGTTAACTTCATTTTAACTAATTATTTATATAGTTTTATTTCTAAATTCAAGGCTGAAGAGTCATTATTCAGAGTTATTCTTCAGAATTATTTCAAGAGTATAAGTCTGAAGTAGTATCGTACTTTCAATGATCATTCATATATGTAAGATAAGTTCATGACATGATTTAATTTTTTCAAATTACCCCGTGTAATACACGGGATCGAACCTAATATATATATATATATATATACATATATAGAGGAGCGTTCAAATAAAAACTTGCCCCATTTGTGTAAACCGTGTAAACCAATCTCATCCATCCATTTTCTTGATCAATGGCTAAGATTAATTTACTTTATTTTAGGAAATTAAAAATTAAAAAATAATAAATATTTATTTTATTTCAATACTAAGGGCAAAATTGGTAAACAAAGTTAACATTTTGTAACTCCTTTCCAGATTCATTTAATAACAAAAAAAAAA